CACGTTGGCACACCAAATGTGGCGGTTTGGATTAATGAAGACCAATAATAATAGGTATTTGAACAAGTTTAATGGCAAAACCAGACTCACGAAACCAAGGTTCCAGCGGAGTACCCGGAGCAGGAAGGAAGGGGCGCGCAGCATCTGCACGGCGCACAATTTATCAGTAAACATACGCCTGAGGGCAGCCCGCCCCCAAGTGGTGGGCTTATCCCTACACACCACCACCACCTGGTTACTTTCTGGATTCAGAAGAGTTGTGATTGTGGAACTGAGGAGATGACTCAGATGACTCAGTGGCTTTGACTCAGAATTCCCATTTAAAAAGAAAAGCTGGCTATGGTGACATGCACTTGTAACTGCAGTGCTAGGGAGATGGAGACAGACAAATCCCTGGGCTCACTGACCAGCCAACCCAGCCTGCTTGGTGAGCTCCAGGCCAGTGAGTGACTCAGTCTCATAAATAACCAGGGGTCACTCCTGAGAAATGATACCTGAAGAATATTACCTGAGGCTTATCTCTCAGCTACACACACAGAGAGACACAGACACACAGATACACATACACACACACACACAGAGAGAGAGAGAGAGACAGAGGGAGAGACAGAGACAGAGACAGAGAGACAGAAAGAGACAGAGGCAGAAAGAGTGTGTTATGCTCAGCGCCTCACTGTAGAAATGTGGCTAGCTGACAATATCAATTGGGGAACCAAGAAAAGTCAAGAAAGTCTAGAAAAGTCTAGAAAGAGGAAACTAGGTAAAATTTGCAAAGCTCTAAAATTCCAGTGCAAGAATGTCCCTACCCTTGGAGCTCATGATCCTACCTCAGGTTTACTATTTTATCTTATGAGTTAACCCTAAAGTTGAGGGAATTCTCATACCACACTTTTCTTTTACTTGTTCCTTTTGGGGTCTCCTGTGATGTTTGTATCTTTTAAACATGTTTTGACAGCATTGATTTTCTCTTGGGGTAATTATGGGAGTGTTAAATAAAGATGGTGGGTCTTCTATTTCTCTGATGACCACTGGGAACAGGGCCAGGCAACTCTTCCACTCAAAAATCTGTACTAAAAAAATTGAACTTCTACTAAATATTAGAATGTCTTTTAATATATGAATAAAACCACTAACTTCTTTGTATTCACCCAATATAGCAGTTAGCTTGCCTGATCAACTTAGTTAAAGCAGGAATTACCTAAAATCAAAACCAATCTTGTATTGTACTTTGAAGAATAGGGCCAAGAAGAGTGAATCTCTTGTTCAACTCTTAAAGAGTCCTCTTACCTCTTCTCCTATGTGTGTTTATGGATGTAGGAGGATTTCTGGAATTTACAGGCTCTGTAAGATAAAAAGGAAAAAAACTATTATGTTATGAGAAATTATTTTAAGATGTGTAACACTTGTTTATACTGTGGAGCATTTGTTTAATGATGCAAAGATGTGTTGCATTCTTTTATGTTGTATTTGTTAACTCTGCGAAGCTGTGTTACTCTGCCTGCCTAAAACACTTGTGAGTGAGGCCGGAGAAAGGAAAGGTGGGGCTGGCAGGCAGGGAGAATAAACAGAAGGAGAAATCTGGGAAGAGTAAGGAGAAAGAGCAAGAAAAGGAGGAGAGGAAGATGCTAGCAGTTACCCAGTCCCCCAGCTCCCCAGCCCCCAAGCTAACCATGCAGTAAGTGTGAAAGTAAGACTACAGAAGTAAGAAAAAGACAAATGTCCACAGGCCAAAGGTAGATAGGTTAATTTAAGAAAAGTTGGCATGGCCCCAAGCGGCGGAGACCCGGCACGCAGGCCCCAGTGGCGGATGCTGGATAGTCCAAGCATGAAACAGTGAAGCCCACACTGAGAACACTACAACTAAATCAAGTAGGTTTTTTGGGGCCTGGCCTGCAGAGTAGTAAACCTTTTATTGGTGAGGTCCACGGGTGAACGGGGAGCCTGGTCCTTCCCCTGAAGACCCTCCTGAGTGGGGGAGAGTGTTCTGGGCCCACGGCAGGACACAGGAAACGGAGTGGAGGCATTCCCCGACCCCCTTGACACCCCCACCATTAGTCTGCCAGAGCTGGTACCCTCTACTGCGACCTCTCTCCCCCTGACCCATCCCAGCTTGCGCCCAGAGGCCTCCTTCACTCCACCTCCCCTTCCGTGGGGCCCCGGGACCACCCAGTTTACCCTGTTTGGGCGCTGGGTCAGGAGCTCGAGTCAGAGGGCAGTGGGAGTTTCTCTGTTTTGGTGGCTGGCCTGCAGAGTGGTAGGCCTTTTGTTGGCGAGGTCCCTGGTAAACGGGGAGCCTGATCCTGGTCCTGAAGACCCTTCTGAGTGGTGAGAGGAATCTTGGCCCACAGCGGGATCCAGGAAACGGAGCGAGGGCATTTTGTAAGCGGGGCCCCTGGCCAGATGGGAAACCAGATCCTGTTTTAAAAGACCCATTAGATAGCATTGATAGAAGGAGATGGGCAATCACCAAGGCAAGAACTCACCCAACAATCTGAAAAACAACATGAAAACACCAGAACCCATGATCTTACAATAGAAAGACTTGAACACCCTAACACAGAAGAAGAGGAAAAAAGTGACTTTATGAAAGCAATAGAGTCCCTTAAACAACATGTAAAAAATGCCCTTATAGAAATGGATGAGAAGTATAACAAAAAGTTTGAAGAAATGAGTAAATACATAAATGATACCCTGGTAAACCAAGAAAAAATGAACAAACAGGTAATGGAAACAGTTCAAGAATTGAAAACTGAAATGGAAGCAAGGAAGAAAACACAAACTGAGGACCAGCTGGATATGGAAAATTTAGGTGAATGAGCAAAGACTACAGAAACAAGCATAATCAATAGAGTACAAGAGATAGAAGAAAGAATCTCAGATTCTGAAGACACCATAGAAAAAATAAACGCACTGATCAAAGAAAACAGCAAAGCCAACAAATTCTCATCACAAAACATGCAGGAAATATGAGACACAATAAAAAGACCAAACCTAAGAATAATAGGGATAGAATAAGGACAAGAATCATAGAACAAAGGCCCAGGAAATATTCTTACCAAAATTATAGAAGAAAACATAAAGAAAAATATTCCTTTGAATATTCAAGAAGCATACAGAACACCAAACAGACTGGATCAAAGAAAAAAAACCTCCCCTCACCATATAATAATCAAAACACAAAATATACAGATTAAAGAAAGAATATTAAGAGCTGCAAAGGAAAAAGGGCAAGTAACTTATAAAGGTAAATCGATCAGACTTACACCTGACTTCTCTATGGAAACCATGAAAGCCAGAAGGTCCTGGATAGAGGTACTGCAGAAACTAAGAGACCAAGGATGCAAACCCAAACTACTATACCCAGCCAAGCTATCGTTCACTATCAATGGAGAAAATAAGACATTCCAGGATAAAAACAAATTTAAACAATACGTAGCCACAAATCCAGCACTATAGAAAGTAATAGAAGGAAAATCACAACCCAAGGAATCCAGCATTGCCAACACTGCCTACAATAACTCAAGCATCTAGCAACCCTTCACCAGCACAACTCAAAGAAGGGAGACACACAAACCCTACTACCAAAAACAATAAGAGTAACCGGAGTAAACAACCACTGGTCATTAATATCACTTAATATTAATGGTCTCAATTCACCTATAAAAAGGCACAGGCTAAGAGATTGGATATGAAAACAGGACCCAACATTCTGCTGTTTGTAAGAAACACACCTCAACCACAAACACAGGTCCTAAGCAAATGGTCCTAAGAAAAAAAGCAGGTGTGGCCATACTAATTTCTAACAAATCTGACTTCAAACTAAAATCAATCAGAAGAGATCGAGATGGACACTTTATAGTCATAACAGGAACAATTCATCAGGATGAAGTCTCAATCCTGAATATCTATGCCCCTAATATAAAAGCACCCACTAATGTAAAAGAAATATTACTAGAACTCAAGGCAGACATCAAACTATACACACTAGTAGTAGGAGACTTCAACACACCTCTCTCACCAATGGACAGGTCAATAAGACAGAAACCTAATAGAGAATTAAGAGAATTGTTTGTAGTAAGTTCTAATGATTCTCTATATTTCCTCTGTGTCTGTGGTTATGTCCCCCTTTTCATTTCTGATCTTGTTTATTTGCATGTTCTCGCTCTGTCGTTTAGTTAGTTTGCATAGGAGTTTGTCTATCTTGTTGATTTTCTCCAAGAACCAACTTTTTGTTTCATGGTTCTTTGGACTGTTTTCTGTGTTTCTATTTTGTTGATTTCAGCCCTCAGTTTGATTATTTCCAGGCTTCTACTCCTTCTGGGTACGTCTGCTTCTTTTTTTTCTAGAGCTCTCAGGTGTGCTGTTAAGTCCCCAATGTATGCTTTCTCCGTTTTCTTTAAGTGGGCACTTAGTGCTATAAACTTTCCTCTTAGCACTGCTTTCATCGTGTCCCATAGGTTTGAATATGTTGTCTCTTTATTTTCATTAAATTCAAGGAAGACTTTAATTTCTTTCTTAATTTCTTCCTTGACCCAGGTGTGGTTCAGTAGTTGACTGTTCAGTTTCCATGAGTTTGTTGGCTTTCTGAGGATAGCATTGTTGTTGCCTTTTAACTTTAATCCGTGGTGATCTGATAAGACGCAGGTGGACACTGATATTTTTTTGTATCTGTGGAGGTTTCCTTTGTTTCCGAGTATGTGGTCAATTTTCGAGAAGGTTCCATGAGCTGCAGAGAAGAAGGTATATTCTTTCCTGTTTGGGTGGCCTGTTCTATAGATGTCAGTTAAGTCCATTTGTTTCTAGTCATAAATAAAGGACATTGAGCCTATAATTCATGATCCTAGAGAAGCTAAATAAGAAGGTGAGCCCAAAGAAAAACATATAGGTATCCTCCTGAATATTAACCTTCATCAGGCAGTGAAAGGAGACAGAGACAGAGACCCACATTGGAGCACTGGACTAAAATCTCAAGGTCCAAAACAGGAGCAGTTGGAGAGAGAGCACGAGCAAGGAACTCAGGATCGCGAGGGGTGCACCCACACACTGAGACAATGGGGATGTTCTATCGGGAACTCACCAAGACCAGCTGGCCCGGGTCTGAAAAATCATGGGATAAAACCGGACTTGCTGAACATAGCGGACAAGGAGGACTACTGAGAACTCAAGAACAATGGCAATGGGTTTTTGATCCTACTGCACGTACTGGCTTTGTGGGAGCCTAGGCAGTTTGGATGCTCACCTTACTAGACCTGGATGGAGTGTGTTGTCCTTGGACTTCCCACAGGGCAGGGGACTCTGATTGCTCTTTTGACAGACGAGGGGGGGGGACTTGATCGGAGGAGGGTGAGGGAAATGGGAGGCAGTGGCGGGGAGGAGGCAGAAATCTTTAATAAATAAAAAAAAATAAAAGCCAAACTAAGGTCAGGAATTTATAATTAGTAATAAGCCACTTTGTGTGATTTATTCTGGAGCTGGGTGTCTGTTCCCCAAAGGACCTAAGAATAAATAGTAAAAAGAGCAAAAAATCCAAAAGAGTATAAAGAGTAATGAACAAAACAACCAACAACAACACTGTTATTTGTACTCAAAGTTAATTTTGTGTTTGCATCAAATGAGCCTGTGTTCCCAGGACATTCTGAAGGAATGCTTCTCTTGTATTGAACCTGGTTCCAGAGGCCCTAGTCTGAGACTGAACCCATCCTGGATTGTACTTTAATTCTTTGTGGTCATCTGTCCATGGCTCTCAAGCACCAGCCGCTCTAGTTTTCTCAAGTATAAATGAACAACAACCTAGTTACCAGAGCTCCCTGCTAAGGTTCTGTGATGACCAGATACTACTTTTCTTCGTTAAAATCATCTATCTATATCTATCTATCTATCTATCTATCTATCTATCTATCTATCTATCTATCTATCTATATCTATTTATGCCAACATATTAATCATAATTTAGACAGGGATATCTGTAGTTGCTTTTAAAAAAAGATTTAAGGATTCTGAGGAGCCAAGTGCAGCCTCCTAGTGAGCACCCACTGTCCCCAGCAGCATGATTTAGAGAGATTAGGCATGAAGAGCAAACTAGTGAAGAGGATCTGGAATTTCTTAATATATCCAAAGCCTTCTGGCAAACCATTGCCAAAATCCAAAAAAATCTTCAAGCAAAGGTAGTAAAAAGGAACGGAGCAGTTCTGGAACAACAAGGAAGTCAAAACAAACCAAATGTCCTGAAATTCTGTCAGATGAATACAGTAGTGATGAAGATGAGAAGAAAAATAAGGAAGAGTCTTCAGAAGACGAAGAGAAAGAAAGTGAAAAGGAGCAACCACCAAATAGCTATAAAAGAAAAGGCAAAACCAAAAGCTGCTGCTGAAAGAAACAAGTCTGTAAGAAGTGCTGATGTTATGAAGGCAGACAGCAGCGCCACCAGAAGAATCAAAACAGTTCCAAAAAAGAATCTGAATCTGAAGGTAGTTCTGATGATTAACCATTAATTTAAAAAAATTGAAAAACCACCTACAAATGAAAAGTTAAAGGAAACAGTGAAGAAATTACTGGCTGATGCTAACTTGGAAGAAGTCACAATGAAGCAGATTTGCAAAGAGGCACATGAAAACTATCCCGCTTATGATCTAACTGAGAGGAAAGATTTCATTAAAACAGCTGTAGTAGAGCGAATCTCTTAAACTAGAGGACAGATGGCTGCTCTCAAATTGGAAGATGTGATTTATACCAGCAAAGAGAATGTGTTTTCTAAGTCTGTTGTTGGTAGAACTTACTGCTGACCGATTGAGTGCTAAATATATTTGAGCTTGCTGTTTTAAATTACATTTCCTTGCAGTAATTGTTTCTTGCTTTTATAGTTGTACATTTTGGATTTCTTTATTGTAAGGCTGTAGATTTCTGAACTGTTGTGGATTTTAGTGCACTTAAAGTTAGCTTAAGACACTTTTAATCAAAGCAAAAACTATTATAACCAGCATTTATACGAGCAGAGACTATTGCAGTATTTAGTATATGAAATATTTGAATATATCTTCTGTCTGTGTGAACGTATTGGCAGTTTGTACATCATATTAGAGCACAGCCGTTCAGATGACCGAGTTGGAACTTTTTCTGCATGCATATATGTCAAGTTGCCAGCATGACAGAAGTGACAGATGTTAGTTTTGTATTTTTAAAAACCAATTTGTTGTATATAATTTTTAAAATTTCTTTTGTGCAGATCAATTTTTAAGCTCATGTAGGTAGGTGTCTTTACACTTGTAACTAAAGAATGCTAGTGTTGAGCCAGGCAGCATGACAGAGCGGTCAGTTCAGTGGTGGCAGCACTGAAGGGGACTGTCCAGTTCTGCTTTGCTCTCAAAGTGTCATCAATCTGTGGTGTGTTCAGTGTCATAGAAATTTTATATTGAGGATAAACCAAAATCAGCACATCAGGGTTTCAAAACACTGGGAAAGGGTGAGCATACTTGGCTTATCTATAAATGAATTAATACTAACTAGTAACTAAACTTCTTGGACCATTGTAATAATTATGATTAAAGTATCAGATGTAATGTCAGAAGATGGTATATGAACAGTGTATGGTAACTCCTATTAAAAGTGTCAGATTGTAATGCTGGTAATGTAGGTATCTTTGAAAGCATTTCTCAAAAACCATACATTAAATTTCTTTGATGTATTCTAGAAATGAAATCTGTTTGATTTTTAAATTTTGGTCTATCAAGTAAAACAGTCTGCCCCTGAATTTAAATTTTGTCTTTTGACTGTCCTAATAACCTATTTCTGAATTATAAAAATATGCTGCTTTGACAAGAGTGACAATTGATGTACCAACTGAGTGTTTAATTTCTGCATAATAAATCAGCTATATTAATGTTGAGCATTAACAGGTATCTTCACATATTTGACTTTAGTATGCATAGAGTGAAATGGAACAAGTAACTAAATGGGGACTAAAAATTCGCCTTTACATTTTAATAATTTGTTATAAATCTTGACAATCAAGAATAAATTGATATTTAAAAAAAAAGATTTAAACGTTTTATTTTGCACGTGATTAGTTTGCTTGTCTGTGCATCACATGCAGGCTTAGCGCCCTTGGAGATCAAAGGAGGATGCCAGCCCTGCAGAGAATGTTTCAGTGCTGGGAACCAAACCTGAATTCTCTGCAGAAGCAGTAAGTGCTTTTAACTGCTGAGCCATCTCTGCAGCCCTTATGCTGTGGGACAATAGTCTGTACCCTGTCACTTGTATTGTTGTTAATAAAATGCCGATTGACCAGTAGCCAGGCAGGAAGTAGAGGCGGGACAATGAGAACGTGAGAACTCTGGAAAGAGGGAAGTTTAAGTCCATCCCAGCCTCAGAGGAAGCAAAATGTGACTGCCTCGCCAAAAATGGTACCAAGCCATGTGGCTAACTCACAAGGAATTATGGGCTAAAATAAGTTATAAGAATTAGTTAATAAGAAAAGCCAATCAGTTTATAATTGATGTAGATCTCTGTGTGATTCTTTGGGACTGAATGACTGTAGCACGGGGCAGGACAGAGAAACCTCAGACTTATCATATCTGCTTGATATGTAAATAGCACAAATTATTGTTTGTAGACTTTCTAAGCTAATGACAAATGACAGTGTTATCAATAAACAGAAGAATTCTATTCTTATTATACTCTATAAACTATAGAGCCACTGCAGAAACTAAATTCACTATTTCAACTCTTTAGTATTAATCGGTACAATCTCATGGAGTAAAGAGAGTGTCCTTTTACTAGTTTATTTATTTATTTATTTATTTTTGCTATATTTCATTTTATCTCTCAGCTCGGCTTGTCCAGATAAATCATTCTCTGGTGAGTTTGGATTTTCTGATAAGATCAAAGAAGAAGAATGCAAAAAATGTTGCCCTAGAGTTGCAGCATCAAGGCTTACGGAGAATGCTTGGATTACAATTCGAGCCATTACAGTTCAACTTGGACATCCCATAGTCCAGAAGTTGCAATTCTAGCCAACTTCTGGTACAATCTAGTGTCTTGAGCATGTGGTTTCACAGGTCCCCTTTCCCTCATTTGATTATAAGTCATGGATATTGATCACTGTACCAAATAGTAGAATTATCTGGAATCCCCTCGTTGTGAACAAGAAATCAATTTAGTAGGAAATTCCCTAATAAGAAATTTTAGAAATACCCTGAATCTGCTTAAAAAGCCTGGCCTCCATCCATGCACATGGGTCTGCCTTTCTAAATTACCAGAACAGTAGGCTAGTGAAATCCCATTTTGATGACTAAGGCAGATGCAATTCACTGTCAAGGGGCCATCTGAAATCCCTTGGCCTTTTTCTTACTAAGATTTGACTTCCTACTCACCCCCACCCCACTCCTGCTCATCTTTTTGAATTCCCATTATCTCTTGTGTTTCTTGTAGGGAAACTTGGAAAGTCTTAAGTTGAAGAGCCGGAAGAGTTAGTTGAGTTGGTAAGGTTCTTGACACACAAGCATGAAGATATGAGTTGGATCTCTACAATCCATGGTGACTCACACACGCAATCCCAGAGCTAGAGAGACTCATTGGCTAGACAGCATAGCTAAATTTGCGAGTTCTAATGCCCCCGCCCCATGAGAGACCCTCTCTCAAAAAACAAGGTGAATGTCTCTTTAAGAGTATCACCTGCTATTGACCTCTGGCCTCTACAAGTACACACACATGTGAATGCAAACGCACATGCACACAAACACACACACACAAAGTGAGACCTTGAAAATCTTATGTTGAACAATTGCCATTGATCTGATACTTCCCACATTTCTATGAAAAGGATTATTTTGCTTTTGAACCATAGACACAGAGTGTATTTGTAAAAACCTAAAACACTTTTCTACTTTTAAAAAATACATAAAAGCCAGGCAGTGGTAACACAAGCCTTTTATCCCAGTACTTGGGGAGGTAGAGGCAGGCATATCTCTATGAGTTTGAAGCCAGCCTGGTCTACAAGGCTGGGTCCAGGACAGGCTCCAAACCTACAGAGAAACCTTGTCTCCAAAAAAACAAACAAAAAACCCCACAAACAAAAGAAAAAATAAACAAACATAAGACACGTGAACAACTAAAATTATTGCACCATTTCAAAGTTTGCTGTTTTGTAACCTTAAGACCGAGAAGTGTTTTCATTTTACCTCAGGTTTTGTCCTAGTGTGTTTTCCCTGAGGAAGCTCATGTCTAAAGACTTCTGTATCTAGGAAAGGAATCACCAAGGGGCACACTATAGAATCTTAATCTTCCAACAACCCAAATAGGGCTGAGATAATCAAGCCTTTCTAGTCTCTCCCTCCCCCCCCACCATGTGTGTGTGTTTCTGTGTTTGTGTGTTTGAGTGTGTGAGAGAGAGTCCTGTGCAGCCTAGAATGACCTTGAGCCCCTGATCCTCCTGGCTCCACCCCCAGAGTGCTGGCTTACAGGTTCATGACATCACACCCAGAAACCTTCCTATCCCGCAGTTTAGGAAAGAAACTACTCAGTACCCAGGATGACAGTCTAATACTCCATTAGACTTTGGAGAATACATAGACACATATCATCTGTGACTGTATTTTTTCAACTAGGAGAAAAGGACATCTATGTCTGTTCTAGTTGTTCTTTAAAGGTGTTATAAAGAAAGAAGTGCGTGTTATTTGTAAAGTCTTTTGAAAAATCGCTCCAAAAGCCATGACTTGATGAAGAATTTTGTTTGGGTTTCAGAATGTTTTGTCTTGAGTCTCTATTTCTGTCTACTTAACCACATGACTTGCTTTTGGACTCTTGTCTAAGTTTCTGGTTAGAGGAAGTATGATCTTCCAGGAAAGAAGCAGGAAGCCTTTTGCTTTCTATAGAAATCACTGGATGAGGCCGGGCGCATGCCTTTAATCCCAGCACTCGGGAGGCAGAGGCAGGAGGATCTCTGTGAGTTCGAGACCAGCCTGGTCTACAAGAGATAGTTCCAGGACAGGCTCCAAAACCACAGAGAAACCCTGTCTCGAAAAAACAAAACAAAACAAAACAAAATCATTGGATGAGGCTACCACTTAGTAAACATGATAATTAATTAGATTATGAAACAAACTCGCTGAGGCCAGAGGGATGGCTCAGTGGTTAAAGTGCTTGTTGTACAGCATGAGGACCTGAACCCAAGAGGTGCAGTCAGACACTCTAGAATGGATTATAATCCTAGGGTCCATACAGAAGGACAGATATCCAAGACAGAATCCGTGGAAGACTGTGGTCTACCTAGCCTGGCATATATGTTGATGTACAAGAGGTTAGGTCTCAAACAAAGTAGAAAATGAGGATGAGCACCTGGGATTGTCTTCTGACCTCCATGAACATGCACACCAGTACTTGTACACATGAACCTATGCCCAAGTGTGCATACGTACACATATGCATGCACACACACATACACATATCTGTTTCTATTGTGTTAAAAATGGATGACCCAATCTATTAATAGGATAAGATTAATCCCTGAAGTGTATGCCATGATTTCCCTGCATTTTCCAAAAGAATCAAGTGAAATTCAATGGACAGAACAGGTTTGAGGGATCCATCATACAGAGCAGACTCAGAACAAAACCCATCATAAAACAGTACCTTGAGAGCAGATGCCCACAGCCTGTCTTGCTCTTTGGGTGTCCTTACTTGACTGGCAGGTGCCTGAGGTGGATTCCTCTAAGCAGCTGTTTTCATCATCAGAATTATCTCTGGTAAGGTCTGCATGAAGGAAAGAAAAAAAGTGCCTTAAACATCTTAGTGGAGTCGAACATTTTGGACTGCCAGTTCCCTAATAATAATAGAGATTTTCTTTTAATTATGAAAGCTTGTCCTTAGCTTAAGCTTGTTCCCAAATAGCTCTTAAAACTTTAACATGTTTAATCTATATTTTGCCACATGGCTCATTGCCTTTCCCCAGTACAGTACTTCCAACTTCCTCTGTATTTGGCTGGAGAATCCCCACCTCTGAGATTCTTCCCTGAGATTCCATCTCAGCCCAGAAGTACTGCCTGTTGTCTCCTGCCTAGCTACTGGCCATTCAGCTCTTTATTAAACCAATCCAAAGGTGGCTTATGCAGGTGAGGTAAAACAGTGACACATGATCACCCAGTGTGATCAAATATCCTGCAACACCTTAGGGGTGACAGCAGGCACACATGGTAGGGAACACCTGAGTGTGAACACTAAGAAGACCTGAATAGTTAACTCCAGGCTTTACACCGTTCCTTTAAGACTGTGAACCAACAACTGACCATAGAGGTGGTCCCTCCTCGGTACTGACAAGTATCTTGTCTGTACCCTCATTCTGGTTCTCACTTCCCCATACCCTCACCTACCTCTTTTTCACTTCTTGCTCCTTAGCTTTCTTCTTGGCTCTGTTCATCCTCCTGTTCTTCATCTGTACCCAGCGATGGACCCCTTGGTTCTTGGTATGCTTCCCTGCCCATCTCTTCTCACACATATTTTGGTTCCCTAATATTTTTTCTCTCTTCTTAACTCCTACCGACCCTCCCCCCCCACCACATACACCTGCCTTTTCTTAATTTAGAAAAGAAAGCCTGGTCTCACCATTTATTAGCCTCCATTTCTCATTTCTGCCTTTATTTCCCCCCCCCTCCTTCTGCTAAGGTTGGCTTTGGTGGGCCTCTTTCCCTTCCTGCCTCCACTTGGCTACTTGCGCTGTCCCCAAAGGACCCTGATGACTTGTCTAAGCCTCTTGCCGGCGAACCTGTAGCAAATCTGTCAGTCCTCCTTACCTATTACATCAGACGCCTGATTGTGGTCGGTCCTTGTGCGGGTCTGATGTTCACTGCTCAAGAAAACTGAAGAATTTTCTTGCTTTATATTTACCAGATTCACAGAACAAGGGTAAATTTTGATTCCATGGCTGGTCCAAATTACAGCATATGTTATTTTCAGGGACTGAGGAGTCAATTCAGGCTGCAAAGTTTTTGCTGTGCAAGCATGAGTTCAATTCCCAGGAACCACGTAAAAATGACACTAACGTGGCATCTATTTGCAATCCCAGCACTCAGGAGACAGAGACAGGTGGGTGCCAGGGCATCACTGGCCAGACAAGCAGTCTAGACTAGTCATCCAGGTTCAGCTACAAAGCACAACACAACCAGAGACTGACCCCTGGCCTCAGCACACATATGCACACATGCACATGCAGACCAGTACATGTGTATACACACAAACACGCACATATACACTCAAAGAATTTTCATTTAACTCCCTAGAAGATCATTTTGAATACATGATTAACCCTCTCCCCTCAATCTCCCTCCCACTCTGTGTTGAAATAAAAGCGGAGGGCTGCGTCCCCAGCACCCCGGCCTCTTCTAGGCTAATTCTCTATTATTAGCCAATGACCTTCCTCCATCATTTCCCCTTTTTCTGTTTAAACAAAAAAGGAAGGCTTTAACTTAACATAGCAAAATTACATATAACAAAACAGTTATCAAGTAAAAATTACAATAATCTATATCATAACTAAGGAAAACTATAACTATAGCTAACTATTCTTAACTCCATCAAAGAGTCCAGAAAGATACAATATTACCTAAGCAAACAAGAAATCCAAAGCTCTAGAAATGACAGAGACATCTCGCTGCCTGGACAGTTACGCAAAGTTCCTCTGTACCGTTGGGGCATCCATCTTCAGCCTACAGGCCCATAGTTTCCAGCAGACATTTCCACAAAGCAG